TGCGTCCCCACCGGCCTGATAAAACTCGCTTATCTCCCAAGCGCCGCAATCAATGGCGCGGTTGGGTTACCCACGTCCGTATTGATGGGAATCCCGGAATAAGGGGGACACGATCTTTGCTTCAACAGGACGTGCCAAGGAAACTGCTTCGCTGAACGCGCTGAGGTGGTGCGGTAAAAACAATTCGAGTAAAGGCTTGGTAGTGGTGTGATGTCACGCCACAAAATACGTCAGTAGATTGAACTTGTGTAATATTATTCTCTCTACGGGGGTACGTGGAATTTATTTTTGTAGAGCCGGACACTATCTTGGTGTTCACAATCTTCTATAAATTATTCGGAGGAAGAACCCGCCTTGCAATGCCGAAGACAACATGCGCGCCGGACTCATCGTCATTGAAGCCTGGTTCAGGGGCTACTGAGGGAGTTCCGGACTAGGGGGTGTCCGGACAGCCGAACTATCATCATCGGCTGGACTCCAAGACTATGAAGATACAAGATTGAAGACTTCGTCCCGTGTCCGGATGAGACTTTCCTTGGCGTGGAAGGCAAGCTTGGCGATACGGATATGTAGATCTCCTACCATTGTAACCAACTCTGTGTAACCCTAGCCCTCTCCGGTGTCTATATAAACCGGATGGCTTTAGTCCATAGGACGAACAACAATCATACCATAGGCTAGCTTCTAGGGTTTAGCCTCCTTGATCTCGTGGTAGATCCACTCTTGTAACACACATCATCAATATTAATCAAGCAGGACGTAGGGTTTTACCTCCATCAAGAGGGCCCGAACCTGGGTAAAACATCGAGTCCCTTGTCTCCTGTTACCATCCGCCTAGACGCACAGTTCGGGACCCCCTACCTGAGATCCGCCGGTTTTGACACCGACATTGAGCTTGAGAGAGTATTTGGCCAGCCGCTGGAATACCTCACGCAAGAGCTGGACATGTTCCTGGAGGGTTTTGTTAAACACCAGGATGTCGTCAATGAACACTAACACGCCATGACGAATCAGAGGTCCTAGAACAATGTGCATGCCTTGCTGAAATGTAAACGGCCCTCCGGTCACTCCATATGGCATCACCTTAAACTCGAAGTGCCCGTGATGAGTTTGGAAAGCTGTCTTCGGCTCGTCCCCTGGACGCATCCGAATCTGGTGGTATCCCGATCTCAAATCAAGACTAGTGAACACTGTCGCCCCATGCAGCTCGTCCAAAAGTTCCTCGATAATTGGTATTGGGTATCTATTTTTGATGGTGATTGCATTCAAATGGTGGTAGTCGACACAAAATCTCCATTCTCTGTCCTTTTTCTGCACCAGTAAAACAGGCGAAGAAAAGGGGCTGCGGCTGCACTGAATGATTCCTTGGCGTAGCATCTCGCGGACCTGTGCCTCGACCTCGTCTTTCTGGACAAGGTTATACCTGTATGGTCGCATGTTCACCGGTTGAGCTCCTGGAATGAGATCAATGGAATGATCAAACTCCCGCGATGATGGCAGACCTTGTGGTTCTGCGAACAAACTGCTGAATTCCTCAAGCAAGGCTTGAACAGCAGCTGGCACCGGGGCTGTTTCCACGTCTGCTTTGACCTCAGCTACCAACAACACATGCGCGATGGCTGTCCTTGCTTGCAACAGGTTCAGTTGAGTGGATGAAATAGGTTCACAAATGATATCCGAGCTGTCTATCCCTTGGAGTTGCACCTGCTTGCCTTTGTGTGTAAAAGCCATTGATTTTTCAGTCCAGTTAACTGTCATCAACCCTCGAGACTCGAGCTAATCCATTCCTAATATGATATCGTAGCAGCCGAGCGGAAATAGCTTGAATGTGGATCGGAATTGTTCCCCTTGGATCTGATATTCGCACGCCGACAATTCCTTATCACACAAGGTAACTGCCCCATCGGCCACCTTCACCTTCAGTGGATGTTGCATTGGTTGTACCCCTGGCCAGTTCTGCACAACCTCCGAATTGATAAAACTATGAGAAGAGCCCGAGTCCACCAGCATTAGCAGCACCTTGTTACCCACTCGACCATGAAGACGGAAAGCCTTTGGCGCCTCTGTACCAGTAACAGTAGCCGCTGACAGCAATTACAAATCTTCTTCTGAACTATCCACTTGAGCACTCGGTGTGGGATCCGGTGATGTTGGTGGCGACAGCATGCCCACCATCTCTTCGACAACGTGCATTTGTACAGTGAAGGCGCAAGTATGCCCTGGCCCCCAACGCTCGCCACACGTGAAGCATAGCCCGTGTGCTTTTCTGAAGTTGCGCAAGGCCTTGAGCTTGTCGTCCACTGACGTAGACGAACCCACAGGCGTCTTGGCGATGTCGAGTCCGCGGCGTGTCTCGAGTGGCGATGGCGTTGGTGAGGTGCGCCCCGCCTGTGTGGGCACCGGAAGCGCGACAGCCAGCGGAGGCCACGAGGTGAATCGCCCCGCTCGAGTATGAGAGCTCCCCGACCGAGAAGGGCCATTGTTTTCCTGCTCCAAACGCACCAGCTCGACCACCTCCTCCTGCAATTTAGCCAAAGAGACGCCAGTTTCCAAGTCTGGGGGTCGATGAAGCATCACAACAACTTTAATGTCATGATGCAATCCTTCGACAAAATGAGTAGTAAAGAACAGGGGATCCCAAGAGCTATGATGCGCTAACAGGCTGTGCATGGATAAATTGAATTGTTCGGCATATTCGAGAACCGAGCCTGTTTGCTTCAGTTTCGAAAACTTGCGCAGAAGGAACTGAAACTCAGAGCGCCCAAATTTGTCTAGCACAGCTATGCAAAACCCCTCCCAGTTAGCACTCTTCAGATGCATTTTAGACCACTCTAACCACAAGGCAGCCGCCCCTGTAAAGTGAACAATAGCAGTGTCCACCCAGACGTGCGTTTCAAGCCCACTTACACGGAAAAAGGCTTCGCAACGAAGGCGCCAACCCGTGGGATTGTCGCCATCAAATTCAGGGCACTCCATGATTTTGTTGCCGAAACGGCCTCCCGTGCCACCCTGATTACTGCTACCGCCCAACTCTAAGGAAGGGGGGAGGAGGAAACGGGGTTCGGAACGTACCATTGGCCGGGAATGGCGTAGTGAGGATCGGTCCCTCACTAGCTGAAGCCCGTGGAAGTAAAGCCCTGCGGTGGCCAGTGTGCCCGTGATCGTCATCACCTTGCTCGATGTTGGTCGGTGGCGCGTCCGCCGTGACGGAATTCGGCATCGGCCTGTTGGCTGGTGCGGTGCCTGCCGCGATCTTCTCCAGCTGCGCCCGGATGTCGCCGAGGTCTGCTTGGAGTCGTCCCACCGCCGTGTCCAGGTGGGTCGCCAGGTCGCGAGATCCTGGACGACCGGCTCGAGCGCGACGAGCGTCGGCTCCATCTTCGCGACCGCGGGCTCCATCTTCGCGACCGCGGGGGCCATCCTATCCAATGTCTGCTGGATCGATAGGAAGGCCTTGGTGATGCCGCTTCGCTCCGCCGCCGCCTCCTCCCACTGCTTCTGGGCATCCGTCCCCACCATGATCTCCTTGATGCTGCGCGTCTTCGGCGCCAGCTCGCGATGCGGAAGAGAAAATTTCTGGTGGAATTGGTGGCTCTGATTACCAGATGACACGGATCTAGTGTCTAGGCGATAGGATTTACTCTCAATTGATCGAATCAGGGATACAAGTAGCTAGGGTTCATAGCAAGAAAGGGGATCGAGAGATGAGAGTCAGAGGTGGGAGAGGGGATACATCGCCCAGCGGCGCCGTCAGGTTCTGGACTAATCGATACCCTAGCCAGTGGCTCGTTACCAGCCGAAGAGAAAAGTTTTGAGGGCAAACCCAAGTACCTATCATTTAAAGTTTCGTTGGGCACTTGAAGAATATTTTTGGTCTCATCTTTGACATCTGCCGGGCATTATTTGCTGAAGAAAATTGAAGATTTGTTAGCATTAATAAGCTGACCAGAAGCCCTGCAATAACTATTCAACATGTTTGATACCTCAGTCACCCCTACACCATTTGCTTTGAAGAACAACATGCTATCATCTACAAATAAGAGGTGGTTAACAAGGGGCGCCGTAGGCGCAACTTGAATTCCACCCATCTGAGATGACTGATCTATGGATTTAAGGAGGCATCAAATGCCCTCTGCTGCGAACATAAACAGGTAAGGGGAGATAGGATCTCCTTGACGAATACCTCGTGAAGATTTAAATTCATCCCATTTCTTTCCATTGAACAAAACCGAGCAGACCAAGTCCATAACAATAGTGACCCATCTTTCAGAGAAGCCAAGTTTGAGCATGATGGCTCTCAAGATAACCCCATTCAACTCTACCATATGCCTTCATCATATGAAGCTTAAGTGCATAATGACGATGTTTGTCTGCTTTGTTGCCCTTCATGAAGTGCAGACATTCATATACAGCAACAATTTTATCAGTTATAAGGCGACCCGGAACGAAAGTCGATTGTAGCTAAAATGGGAGGTATGAGGGATCAATACCTCACTGCAGCAATTCTTTTTTAAATTTGTAGGCCCAGTAAAGTGAGTGGCCTACGAAGGATCAGGCCCAGCGAAGCGTTGCAATTTCTCAGGCCCAGTTAAGCCAGCGATGGACGAAGGATCGAGGCCCAGCGAAGATAAAAATGGTTCGAGCACGACGGACGAAAGAATTTTTTGTTTTTTTAGGGGAGGAAGGGACGAAAGAAAATTTTGGAACGTACTATTATGATATGATGGTAAGGAGTAATAGCCCCTTTATTATTATTATATATATAAGATAAAAATAAAAATAAAGATAAGGATAATGATAAAGATATTATTAGGTATAATTTGATATACTAGAAGATATAGATATGGATTATCTGGGCAGAATTCCGGAAGAATGGTGAAGGTCATCCCCTCGAGGAACACAGCCGCGGCCGCCGCTCTGGCCCCAACCCTAGCTAGAGCTCCGGAACCTTCTCCCTGAAGGGCCTCGCGGGACTGATCCAGGAGTCCACGGGGTGCGCGATGCCACCAGGGGGAGGAGAAGCAAGCCAGCATGGCCGCACGGGGAAGGAGCAGAGCGATCCGCCGGAGATCCGCCGCCGCGACGACTCCCGTCCCGCGCCGCCGTTCCCCGTCGTAGCTTCTCAGGTCTGCTCCTGGATCTTCCAATCAATGAATCTTTCTTTCTTTCTCGTGTCTTCGAATCAATGAATCGATCGGGATCTTAATCAATCTTTCCTCGGCCCGTTCGTAGAAGAGGAGGCAGACGCAGCCGGCGTCGGAGGTGGTGAGCGTCCCCGAGGGCCCCCTCGTCGAGATCCTGGCGCGGCTGCCCTACCCGTCGCTCTGCCGATTCAAGTGCGTCTCCAAGCAGTGGCGCGTCCTCTGCTCCGACCCCAGCATCGTCAAGAGGGCGACGCAGACCCTCTCCGGATTCTTCCAATACGGCCCGGCCGGCAGCCTCCGCTTCAGCAATCTGTCCGGCGGACGTCCGCTGGTCGACGCTTCGCTCCCTTTCCTGCGCCCGAGATACCAAAGGATCAATATCGAGCAATGCTCCACCAGCCTTCTCCTCTGCAAATGCTGGAAACTGGAATCGGAAAAGGACAAATTCGATTTCATCGTGTGCAATCCGATGACCCAACAGTGGACCGTGCTGCCTCCTATTGAATGGCTGGACCAAGACAACGGAGAACCCGAAAGTTTCGAGCTGAGTTATCCCTTCCTGGTTTTCGACCCGTCCGTTCCGTCTCGTTTCGTCGTGTTTGCGCCCCTCTGGGAGTCGATCGACGTTGTGCCGATATACTCATGGGAAACCGGACAATGGACTCCCAGCAGGGGGTGGGGACACAGACGGCATGGTGCCGTTAGCGCCGAATGTGTCTTCCTGAATGGCATGATCCATTTCTTACATTTGCTTTTCCATGGAACTTTCATAACTATACTAGACCTTGAGGGGGAGGTTTGCCGGAAAATTACTTGCCCGGATGGAATGCAAGGGGCAACAACGCCTGGTTATGGTTCGGTGGGGTGCTCTCAGGGACTCCTTCATGCTTGGTATATGGATCCTCATGATTACCAGCTCTCCGTGTGGGTGCTCAAGGATTATTATGCTACTGAAGAAGAGTGGACCCTAAAGCATACCGTCGACGTTCCAAAACTCTTTGAAGAAACGGAATCCGACCAAGAAGAGGATTATCGTCGCCAAGAGGATGGGTCCTGTAAGTATCAGATGTTTGCAATTCATCCAGAATACAACGTGATTTTCATTACTGACTGGAAGCTGGTGAGTCTGTCGTACGACATGGACAGCGGGCGAGTGCATCCCATGTGCACTTCTGCAGATTTCTTTGGTGCTCTACCTTTTATTCCTTGCTTTGCGGATTTGGCTCACGGATGATCACTAACGCCTTTGAAAAAATCGCTCTTCTAGTTCCGTGGCACTGGTTTGGCTGCAGCCGTTTTGTGGCGTTGAACAATGTTGGTCACCGGTAGACATTTTGTAAGCGACAACAGATCCAGCGGGTAATGCTTGCTTAGTTGTATGAATGACTTGGTCACCCAAATATATTTGTGTTTTATGTAGTACTGATTAATGTGGTCACTTGTTATCTGTTCGCGTCGGCTGAATGTGAACTTTCATTATCACTGTTTAGAATTATTTCCATTTCCTCTTTATTTCCATTTGTGTCGTGTCGAGCAAATAGATCTTAAATATGACTTGTTGTGCATCTATGCTGAATATGGATGATGCCATGTCTTTGTAACGGTAACAGAATTTTGCGAATGGTCTCTTCTATGCCGCATATACCAAGGGTAAGGAGATGTTGGTGTCGTTTATGAAACCAATATGGAGCTTTTCTATATATTAAACAGTATGCAGCTTATATAGCAGATATAGTGAACATAATTATCTCTTTATTTTGTTCAGGGGAGAGGACAAAGATTCTGCCTGTAGCTAAAACTAAGCACTCTTTATGTTTGCTGTTTGTCACTAGTAGTGTGCTTCTAATTAATTTCCTGTTTTTGAATCTTTTTCTTGCGGGGATTGAACTTTTCATTGACCATACTGTTGAACTGCTAGGTTGTTGTCAAACCAATCCTATTTTTGAAGCTTTTTCAGATTTTGTTGACAATGATGTAGCTCACATAACATAATTTTCTTGTCAGCTACGAACTGTGTACTGAATGCACTTTGAATTATATTCTAATTTAAACTGTTACCCGTGTGTCGTCCTGCAGCTGAACCTGAGAAGTAACTTGACCGCCTGTCTTGCTGCATGACCCACTACACAGGCATGTCACTAGATTGAGCTTATATTCATGCACGACGCAGTCACACGTGTGATAGGTTTAAACTTTATTCTGTTTTAGAATTTTTTTTGAATGCCCCATCAAATTTTCTTTCATTTAGAATTAGAATATGCTCTCTGGGTGCAGCCGTTTTGTGGTGGTGAACAATGTTTGTCAACAGGTATAGATTTTGTATGCAACAAGTGATTCAATCGGTAATGCTTAGTTGTATGAATTACCTAGTCACCTAATATATTTGTTTTCACGCAGTGCTAATTATTGTGCTCACTTGTTATCTGTTCGTGTTGGGTGAATGTGAGCTGAAGTTATCAATATTTAGAAGTATTTACATTTTCTGCTCTTTATTTCCATTTTGTCAAGCAAATAGATCTTCAAGATGAGTTGCTATCCATCTATGCCAGATATTGATGTTTGTAACAGTAATGCGGATGGTCCCTTTCTATGCTGAATATACAGAGCGTAAAAACTAAAGAGATGTCAGTGTCATTATGCAGCTTCAAATCTAATGGACATAATTATTTCCTTATTTTGTTTAGGGGAGAGAAGAGAATGATTCTGTCTGTAGCTAGGACTAAGCACTGTTTAAGTTTGATGTTTGTCACTAGCTACTACCTATGCACCCAACCCCTAGTGTGTCCATAATGTCCTATTTGGCCAAGACTAGATAGACGAGGACTCGGCAAAGCCTACTTTGAGAGCTGGGTGTACACCAAGCACCCTTTGGTTACACTCGGCAAACGCTTTACCGAGCGGATATGGCCATCGTTGAGTACTCCTGGTACTGCAAATTCCTAGATTCCAGTAGTGGCTATGTGTGGTTGTGCTCAGCGAAACCAAAAATGAGAGGTGCAGTACAGAAGATGGCGACAGGTAAACGTTTTGCCTTCAGTTTTGAAGAGTCAAAAGTTACTTGAAAAACACATGTCACTGACTACTTTGTGTTCATACACAAAGCGGTCACACATGTGGTAGGTTCAAATTTTATTTCGTTTTAGAACTATAATAGCGCGCTTACTTGTATTGGCCTGTCAAACAGGGTTTTTCATCCGACATGTCTTTGTCCCCTGCTTGGCAATCTTCATAAGCCTACTTGCCTGAATCCGATCGATTAATTTCAGAACCGTGCATGTACTGTTTGTAGAAAGCAATTTAGTCAAGCAAAATAATTTCTGAGTTCCCTGACAAGTTAACCCCTACTGGTCTCCACTCTTCAGTAGCTAATAATATAAGTACTAAATTATTGCAAGCTTGCATGAATAGAACAACAATACAGCCAAAGAGAAGGAAAAGTATAAAGAAGAAAAAGGGGTAGTTTGAACTTTGGAGGGCACATGCATCATGCAAAATCCAGTGACCGTCACAAGAAAAGAAATACTCATGGCAACAGGCATGGATATACCATGATTAAGGATACAGTATATTCCAACAAGGCACAATATTATAAATTTCCAGGCTGGATCACGCAGAATCCTGGGATATATATATATATGGTTTGTACGTTAGAAATGGTTTACTAAATATTGTCGTCCACATTAGGCATTGTGATCGATTGCTGAAGTTTCAAACTAGCACCTGAAAGTCAGTCTTTCAGTTATCAAATAGTCCCTTCGTCCCATAATGTAAGACATTTTTTGGCACTAGTTATAGGACGGAGGGAGCATCTGTTAGAATATTCGATGCTTAAGTTAGTTTCTTGTATGGTGCGCTGAGCCTAGAGATTGGCAAATGTTTCACTGAACCTAGTTTATCTTGCACAACTAGTAAAGTTTGGAGCTGCCATTGACTCGAAAATGGTATGGTGAAGACAAGCGAAATACGAGTATATACATCTTCTTTGTAGTAAGAGATGCACTATTTTCTTCAACAGTCTGTAACTATCTCCTTGCCGGTGTATTATGATGGCCGGCGTGAGATCTGTGTTGTGTCGCTGCCTGACTTGGGGACGAGAGAAAAGAGCAGGGACCAGGGAGACACACGAGAGAGAGGAGAATTCAGAGTTGTCTATTCGTTTCTTTCTCGTTCATTCATTTGCTGGTTTTGTGGCTTTGTAAACCTACCCAACACACCCTGGCTTAAGGCCCACATACACATTAACCTAACAGACGCACTCGACGCTGGCACCACCAGGTCCCACCAAAAAATGTAGGTGTTTTTTCGCCATACTAAGGGGTCCACATATTCTTACATCACCACATCTGGAGTAAATAGCATAAAACTACTAGGTTAGGGTTTCAAAAAACTACAAAATTTTATTTTTTCTCAAAAACCTACCAAACGCGTGGTCGGCTGTTTCAAAAAACCCAAATCACCGAATGCTTTCAAATTGATCGTGATTATGACAAGGATGGCCCACTCGTCAGAGTTGACGTGGCATAAAATGTCAACTCCGTTATCTCTCCTACTCACCCCGTCTTCTTCTTCTATCTCTCTTTCTTCCTCCCGTTGCTTGCCCCCGACGCAGCCATGGAGGGTGCTCGACGCGTACGCTCGCCCCCTGGGCCGGCCGGCCGGTCGCCATAGCGCCGCTGCCGGCGAGCATCCCGCCTCCCCCTCCCCCTGCAGACTAACCATGTCCAAGGAAGTATCCTGCCGGAGTTCGCCATGCTGACCATGTCGTGCCGTGCTCGTGCTCGTGCCAGAGGAAGAGCGCGCACACAGCTGACCATGCCGTGCTCGGGCGCCGCCAGCTGCTGCTGTCCCCGGCTCCTCACCACCCCCACCTGTTGCACTCACCGCGGGCACCTGTTGTTGCTCCCCGCCGCCGCGTGCTGCTGGCCGCACCATGGGGAGCCGCCGCGTGCTGCTGGACGCGAGCCGCCTGAGGCCGCGCCATGGGAAGCCACCTGAGGCCCCGCTGCTGGCCGCGAGCCGCCTGAGGCCGCGCCATGGGGAGCCGGCCGAGGCCCCGCTACTGGCTGCGCCATGACGAGCCGCCGGCCGTGCATCCCATGTCCTGGAGCTCGGCCTCCTCCAGTCACCGGCAGCGGAGGGGATGGAGGGGAGTGGATGGCGGCCGGTTGCCGGAGAAGCCGTGCGGGATTAGCCCAGGATCGGATTGCTTTTTTCTCTTCTTCACAAGGACCCGATCGCTTTTTTCAGAAAAAATACAGGGACCCGATCGCTTTTCTTTTGAAAATTACAGGGACTCAATTGCTTTTTATAAATACTTGGGCCCCACCCGTCATAACCTGTGAATGGTCAATCTAACGGTCAACCTAACGGTGTTAATTTTTATGCCACATGGACCTAACAGGTGGGCCACAACTGTCAAAAAACGGTTTACAATTTAAACACTCGGTGATTTGGGTTTTTTGAAACAGCCGACCACACGTTGGGTAGTTTTTTGAGAGAAAATAGAATCTGGTAGTTTTTTGGAACCCTAACCTATAAACTAGTAGTTTTATGCTATTTACTCCCACATCTGGTAAGATCAAAGCCACACGTAATATGCGTGGATCTTTAGTGCGCACTTACCATCTTGTGAAAGCCACAGATAATCCGAGCGAGGGGATACGGAAAACGTCATCCATGACGGTGCCCGGAACCCCGAGCATCGACCTCCCGGTACATGTGTCACACGCACAGGCACTACTGCTTCTATGGGCGTCTTCCGGTGTGACACATTCTCTAGGTTGTGAGAAAATTTTACGCTCTTCGTCCTCTAGGTAGTGAGGAACTTGTTCGAAAGGAATGAAACTGAAATGCACAACGACTTCAAGACCTGAAGGCGGACATAAAATATTGATCACAGATTTCGTAAAAAAGGAGAACGTGTTTTAGAGACACCAAACAAGATTAATGCAGAAGAAGATCTCGTTGATCTGGAATCAGGAGAGCCCAGTGAGAAGACCACATTTGGGGAGCAGTCTAGTGTCCACAGATCACAACAGTTAGCCGAAACTGGTGTGACGCCACAGAAGACAAGATGGAGAGAAAATGCAACATGAAACCAGGAAGCTCCCTTGTGTTTCCTCTTCTCTACTGCTTTGCTGCACCTGACGAAGTTCCACTGTAACCACTGCCATTGGTACCGGCACAGATAGCTTCATTGCAAGTTGTAGGTTTGTGCATTGTTCATAAAGTTGA